TATCTAATATTTACTATAAACAAATGTGAACAAGTATACTTCATCTAAACTAGACATTTATTTTTATTCATTTAATGATAAAAAGGGTATAAACTAATTAGTATCAACTATTAACTTACTATTAGAGCAAAAAATATTCTCTGAGTCAGATTTTAATTACCAGCTGAAGCTGCACTAGCTGGAGTGCCAAGCGGATCAGCAAACTTGAGACGGAGGTAATCAGAAAGATTCGAGCGATAAAAAGCTTTTATTGCAATTTTCATGGCGATCTTCTGCTCCTTTCCGACTCGGGTGCCAGCATAACGAATAACCCCACCGACATTCTCAATGGTGTTGTTCTTGCTACACCACGAGCACCCGTCTAACTCGTCTCTTTGTTTTGCCTGATCAGCTTTTGGCTGCAGCGACAACAAGAAAAGCAACAAAAACCACCATCGCACACCAGACATTTGGTTTAGTTTCTGATTTAAATTAAGCTTGACAAAGTGAGAAACTCAATGAAATAATAAGACTATAAGTAGCTTATATATAGTTAATTAGTTATTATAAGTACATGGTGATTTTTGTCAAACAAAAAAAGAAAAATATTACTATAAAAAGTGTATGAAAGTTAGGAGGAAATTTCTCAAGGCAGTTCTTCTTGACGTGGATTTAAGATTACATAGTTTTTTTAGTTTCAGTTTCAGTCTTTGCTCTGATTTGAAAAATATATGGTATATGACTTGGTCCAAGTCGTACTGAAACTTACTTAAAATTTTTCCAAGTTAACCAAAAAAGAAATTAACACAAGCTTTGACTCGTACAATCTACTTTAAAAAGAAAATTATATACTGTGTAGTAGAAAATACAATAGAAAGTTGACATAGTTAGCAAAAAAATGAAAGAAAAATAACGAGTCTTTTTTGTTAATGCTTAATTTTATATTATAAAATGACAAAAAATATATATATATATATATTAACAGATAAGTACTACAGGTGGAAAATGTATTAATAAAACTATTGTCTAGAGAGTTATATATATCCATTTTATTTTATAAATATATATATATATATCAACTGCATGAATAGCCACTGGCCACATCCAAAATTACTCTAGGCGTTGCTTGTGCATGGAATATGTAATTTCTCATACATATATATATATATGTATATATTTTTTTATTCTTCGTTCCAAAATTCTTGCTAGATCCGTAGCATCTTCCCAAAAGTCAAACCATACCAAGTCAAATCATACCGTATGATTTACTATATATGTTAAATATATATTTGAATAGCTGCATGTTTCCTCCGAGCAGAAAGCCTTACAATATAATAATAATAATATATATATATATATATATATATATGATTGTAACAAATTCTAAGGAACGTCGGAGAAAAAACAAAAACAAAAAAAAAAAAAAAAGAGAAGTACTGATTATAGAAATTTGAATATATGAAATATTGACTGGAACGGAATATGCCTCTCTCTACTTACGAGTGATCTCCTCCACTTCCATATTCAAGTGCTGAATAAGATTTAGTCCATACAAAAACCAATTGGAAATAGTAATTGACTGTTTTTTTTTATATTACTGAAAGCTGTTTGGTCGGTTAATTTACTTTTGTTTATCACTTGACTTGTATGCATACATGTTTGCATAACATTAATTATATAATTTGAAGATTGTCTAAAGTCTAAACTTGCCAATGAAGTTTCACCATAAATTTCAGTCGTTGCCTACCAAAATGAATGCTGTATATTATCAAAATGATAGCTACTGATAAATAATAATAATAATAATAATAAATTTGAAAGAATATTTTTTTCTAAATACAAATAAATTAATCAATCGTTATTGCGTATTCAATCAATCTTTAATGGGTCTACTTATGATATTCCACTGTTTAATTTAATTATGAGTGTTTTGTGACCCCGAATGATTTATGATATTTTGAAGTGTTTTTATTTTTAATGAATTAAAAAAAATACGTTTGATGTTTAATATATTGTAACTATCTTAATTAAGATAATTTATTTTACATGAATATTTTTTTTTTGGTATAAAAACGTATATAATACGAGTACGGAAAATTTAAACTATTCAAGAAACAGACTAAGACAAAGAGATCACAACCTCAGATCCTTTTAAGCCTTGGAAGCCACAGTCTAGGTCTCATAGAACGTGGAAGACAAGGCAAGGCTCGTATAAAGAAGGAAACTCACGTTAAATTAAATTAAGTCCATATGGAGAAAGGTATATGATGGATCCACTCCAAGGTGTACTTGGAGTATATGGATAGAATATCACTATATCTTGGGCCAATAAACTTAAGAGAGATTGTGAAGTTTATGTTAAGGGATGGATTCACGAAGAAGAAGGCTTTGGACTGAAATTAGAAGGTCTCAAAAGGTGAAAACTGAGCTTGTTAAACCAAGAGGATAGGCGACCAATAACTTGTCTTACACCTTATGGAAAACGTGCACCGAAGTGTCCTATAATCCAAGAGAATCCAATCATATTTTTTTTGTAAGAGGTATATATTGAATATACTAAATAATTCAACTTCTTTCTACTTGTTTTTTTTTTTATCCAAGTCTAACGAACAACATTAATTTTTTTTTTAATATGGTTTCCCAAACTCGGTCTCATTCTCTGGATTATCTCTTTTCTTCTTATTCTTTTTTTTCTCTACTCTTAATGAGTCAGTTCTCTCATTCTTTGTTTCTTGAATTCTTCTCTTAAACCATGAGTCCAATTTCATTATTTTAGTTTTTGTCATCTCTTCTTTTCATTTTTGACCTTTTTATTTCCCATAGTTTCTAAAAAGGAAGTTTAATAAAATTATTCAAGTAAGTTAGTAGACAAAAGCTAAAAAGCCTAATAAAATTATACAAGGAGGCTAGTAGGCAAAATTCATGAAAATTAAAGAAGACAAACATTGGATAAACCAACATTAAGGATGTTTAGCTCAAGAAGAAACAAAGTAGGAATATAAGGGGTTTTGTTCATGCGAAGCAAAAGAAAGTGGAAGAGCAACAATTTAGAGAAATTTTATTTTTACTATTTAGAGAAATTTCGAGTATTCATAGAGCATATGAGAATACTTCGAGAAAAAAAAAAAGAGAAATTACGATAAGAAAGGGTGGAGAAACTGATGATTAACAAAGAGAGTTGACAACGTGATTGTGAAGTTTTAGGTAACATAATAAATGACCTAAAGAAAGAAAACGATCAAATTCAATTTAAATTTGCTTAATCCTCGATCTATATAATGTTTCAATCTTTATTTACTGTATAATCCAGTTATGGACTAACGAATACTCATAATTGATTTAAATAAAAATTAAAATTAACAATCAATATAAGAATAAATAAGAAAATTAAAAAATAAAATCCAGAATTAATCTAAGAACACTCAAAGGAACTTTCTTACAATAACTACATTGGAAATGATATCTTTCTGTCTAGTTTATGTTATATCTTACCTATTAATTTTTTTTAATGTAAACGTTTAAGGTTAATTTTGAAATAAATTCAAAATTTTGGGTCAATGCATTGTTTTAATTATATGTTTAAAATTTGCGGAAATATAACTTTACTGTTGTAATACCCGAAATTAATTTGTAAAATTCAAAATTTATGTACAAAATTTAATTTTTAATTTTATAAATTATTATTTAATGTAAAATTACAAAAAAAAAATAGGTGGATGATGAAATTGAAAATAATTTTGGGAGAAATTGGTGAAAATTTAGGTTCTGGGTGATATTTTTGAAAGAAAAATTAGAAATTGTGGGTCAAAACGTAATTTAACAAAATGTACTACGTAGGACGCCCAATTAGCAGCCCCGACGAACCAAAGCGCGCCGCGTGGTAAGGCACGTTGACGTCGTGCCACGCGGGAGGCCACGTTGGCGATCCGTGTGTCTGCGATCAGACAGTTCAGATTTGTTCCCGCGCGTATGAACGATCCGGATCCATTCTCTACTCAGACGCGATCGGACGGTCGATTAAATGCGATGAACGACCCAGATTAAAAGGAGACAAATATAAATACCTCTCTTCATATCAAACCCTAATCCTATCCGCCAGACCCCTCCTCCCCCGGCCAGAGAAGAAGAGCCAGTCGCCGGGAAAGGAGGCGACTACCGCCCGCTGCCGCGCCATAACCACTTCCGACTGCCAAAAGAGGTAAAAATCTTCTCATTCGCTCGAAATTTAATTTTGAACACCCCCATAACCAAATTATAGCAAAAGGACTGGTGGATGATCTAGAAACTACGGGTAAAGTCCGGCGGCACTGCCACGGGAAAAAGTAAAAATCGCCTCCGATGAGGTTATTCTCGATTTCTGTTTCGTGTAATTTTTCTATCATTGAAATCACCATTCTTTTTTCTACAGGTTGACCAAAACAAAACACTCAACCGCGAAGGTGAGTCGGCAGAGCTACTGCACCATAAAACTCTGCCGCAAGTAAGCTCCGGTTTTTCAACTTTTTTCAACAAATCGAGGCCCCTTAACGTATTTTCTCACAGGGATAGGTACAAAAGCAACCGAAATTAGCTGAAACTGGCCGAAAACGACCAACCTGAGAAAAACTGCTGCTGCGGGCCTGCGGTACCGTCGCCAGAACACGGCGGAGCCGCCGTGCCAGAATTCTAGAATTGGCCAAAAGGAGTTTCTAATACTGATTTTGAATTTTTTGGGATATTTCTAGATATTTGAAGTGTGTTTTAATCTCCGAAGAAAAATTCAAAGAACTCGAGAACTGCTAGTAGACGCAACTGAAAGTTTAACATTTTGGACATCAATTTGAGTAAAAATCTCTCACCTTATTCGTTGTTATGGAATTGAAGTGTAATTATAAATAATACAATATTTTGCGTGATTTAGAAATATCGGTAATTAAATATTACTAATAGAGTCTGAACCAGTTATTTATTACTGTTTGTCATGTTTCACTGATTGATTGATTTTACAGTTTTGAATGCATAATAATATACTGGAATTGGTATAATAATTCAATTGTGTTTCTTTAATACATATATTGCTTGTTCTATGTGATTTATAGTTAATTGGAAAACTAAAAATTTAAAGTAAATGAAAAATTATTTGATTAAGTGAATGGATGAATGGTAGTCTTACTAAATATCCTGGGAGATGGTGGACGGATCGGATATATAGGAAACCCTACTATGAACGTTGTCTCATACCGGACGAGGTATCGAGAATCGGTAATTTGGTGCTCATACCGGACGGGGTATGGAGACGGCTCGTTTCACTCTTATACCGAACGGGGTATTGAGGGATGGTATTATTGATGCTCATATCGAACGGGGTATGAGGACGGTCCATTAGTTAAAAATGTTGAAAAATAGTTCACGCGTAGTAGGGACATTCCTATGGACCTTCATGGATACCAGTAAGCTGATAAATGAGAAAGGTGTTGTTCCAACTGATTGAATATAAAATTATGATATTGTTTATGTTATTAACTCTATATGTTGGTTTTAAAAATCTTACTACGGTAAGTATGCGATAAATAATTTTATTTATGATAAATGAATTTTACTTAAATTAAGAGCTCAATTAGTTGTTTTTATAATTTTTACCAATATTTCTTTCTGTTTCGGTGAGTAGCGTAATATTTTTACTGAGTTAATGTAGTTCACTCTTTCTTTAACTAGTTCATATCAAGAGGATCAAGATCCAGACCCCGATCCACAAGAGAGTTGCAAATAAAACGTTCAGTTTGTTTACTTTTTATTTATTTTTTCTATTATTAGTTATTTTTTTAGAATAGTTATTCTCGTAACCCTGTTGAGTATTCCGAATTATTGTGTAATGAATGTAAACGTTAATTTATTGTTTTATTTTCGCGTTCAATTCATAATTTATTTTTCTTTCAAGTTTACATGTCATTACAATTATTTTAAATAAATTATAATTTTTAATTAAAAATAAATTGCTTAAAAGTGCTAGATTAATTATAAGTTAATATTTTTGCTTAAGGCGAGTCTTGAGTTGTGAGCACCCTGTATTCTTCAAGAGGCGTAATGCATCATAATATCATGTACGTGGGACGAATGGCATATTCTTGATCTTGATTTTGTATCATATTAGCAGGATTTCTTTCTCACTGTATATATATATATGTATATGTATATAACTCCATGCCTTATAACACACATATATATATATATATTATCTACATTATTATTTCATGCCTGTAATATAATATATAACGTATAATTCATTAGTAGAAAAAGACATCTAGTTTATTGTGGCTCCTCCACATGGAGCCACAACAATGGCCATTGACATTTTCTTTTGGAATGCAACATTAGAATAATAATAATAATAATAATAATAATATCGTATATAACTTTTAAATGTAATATGTGACATACTTAAGAAAGTTTTTAATTTAAATTTAAATTTTTTTTTTAATTTCAGTTCTATAATATATTCATTGTTATTTGCGTACATAAATTTATTTAGAAATACGATAAAATTAAAATTTACTTATTAAATATAATTTTTTTTATAATTAATTTAATTTTAGTTTGAATATAAACAAATAATTATCATAAAAAAAATGTAATTAACAGGGTTTTTTTTTTAATTAGTTTTCATCTTATTAAATTATTACAACTTTGAAAAAAATAATAATAATATTTTGTGAGGTGTGATATATAAAGAACAAAAAGTGAACATTTGTCCGAAGTGGAATATTTGGTTTGATGCCGTAGTATATTATTCTAGTGTCTAATGTAATATTTTTGCTACTCTTAATTTTTAATTAGTTTAAAATTATTTATGTAGAATAATTTGACTAATTATATCAAAAAAATTATAATATAATTGTTATTAAAATATTGGAATTCCTTAAGAGTTAATTTTAATAATTTGTCAAATCATTTTAATAATTATTCATATTTTGGCAAGTGGGTACCCAAGGAAATCTCTACTTAGTCCAAATGGCCTTGGAATAATTAATTATAGTTTGATGATAATAATTAATACTTAAACAAAGATTTAAGAAATATAATAATACATCAAAAAGTATATTTAATATCTACGTACGATAATAATGATAATTAGTGAAATGCATGATGATGCTGTCAGCATTAGTGATTTGGGTTGCAAGAAAAGCATAGAAGAAATCGATATTATTGACTTTAATTAGCAATGACAAAAGTAAACTAATTAATTATGTAATAAAATATTTTGGATTAATCAATGTTTAAGGGAATAATTAATTAGCAAAATCACATTTGTATGGCTACTAATCCAAAGTAACCTTTCTCACCCTATTATTGCTCTGAAAATGATGTATTGTAAGCTTCCTTTCGCACTCTATTCAGGAGCTTATCAATCAATCTAAGGCCGTGTTTGGATTTCTACTTTTTCTTCTTATGTAAAAAAAACAAGTAAATTACATCTTTTACATTGGGTTTATTCACCCAAGCCGAACGTTTAATTAAGAACGAATAGTTAACCTTATAGTAATACATAATTCCATATAATTGGAACTAAAGATGCCTTTGGCTAGGTCAAAACTACAATATTTATATACATATATATATATATATATCTGATTAATTAAATTAATCTCTCATTTTTTGTCCATGAGCAAACAAACATGTATGAACAAGCATTAAGACCATTTCAACACTCAATTTTTGACAGCATCTTCTTCACTCTCTTCATATAAATTCATAACTACTTGCACAAATTAAATCACCCATTAATCTTTTCTCCAAGAAACTTGATTGATAACAATTAAGAAAATGGCTAGGAAGAGAAAAGCTAACAATATTGAAGGTGAAAGCAACATGGGTAGCAATTGGGATGAGATGGTGAAGGAGGCTGCAGAAGTAGCAGCTCTTGGAGGAACCCGGAGAGCTCGAAAACGGTTTGTCGGAGTCCGGCAACGGCCTTCAGGCAGATGGGTAGCAGAGATTAAGGATACTATACAGAAAATTAGGGTTTGGTTGGGGACTTTTGACACTGCTGAAGAAGCAGCCAGGGCTTATGATGAAGCTGCTTGTTTGCTTAGAGGTGCTAATACAAGGACTAATTTTTGGCCTTGTGCTTCATCTTCATCTCCTGCTCTTCCTTCAAAGATCACTAACCTTCTTCTTCAAAGACTCAAAGCAAGAAACAACCCATCTCCTCAATTTGATTCTGCTTCTAATTCATCTCCACCCATTAACCAGAACCAACTGCAGCAAAGCCCAGTACATGAAGAACTAAACCATAATCATCATCATCATTTCTCAGAGACCTTCACTGAAGATTTCCTTGATCTCCCGGATGATTATGTCCCCTGCAATGATGATTACATAAGTAACACTAACAGTAATCTTACTCCTGCAAACAGTTTTGATTACAACAGTGCAAGCTTTGAGTCAAGTTTACTGACTGAGAAAGAACCAGAAGTGGGTTCTACTCAAAGTGACGGTCTTGAGATTGAAGAAGAAGAAGAAGAAGAAGAAGAAGAAGAAGAAGAAGGGATCGATTTTGGATTCATAGATGAAATAGGAAGCGGTTGTTACAGCTACTCAGCTTTTGAGATTGCAGAGGAGATTGAAAAACCTGGTGGGAACTGCTTGGATGCAGAAGCAGGATTAATGCAGCTTAGAGATGAAATGGAGAGGATGAACTACGAAAGAAAGTTCTCAGCCTCACTGTATGCTTTCAATGGGATATCAGAGTGCTTAAGACTGAAGCTTGGAGCAGGAAATTTGAATGGAAGAAGAAGGTCCGAACAGTTAATAACGAAGCTTCAGAATGCATGTAATGAGAAGAACAAGATGGAGGAGGAAGAGAAGAAATTAGCAAAAGAAGATGATGAAGTGAAATTGGAGAAGAAGATTACAGAAAGTTCATCAATGGATACACACTCTTCTTCTTCTTCTTCATTGAACAGCGATGGTGAATTATGGGGCTCACTTGATCTACCTCCAATCTGTTTTGTTAACTAGTTTAAATTAGGAGCAAATTAATTTTTTTCTGATAAGTAAAAGACACATTTAAATTCTAAACAATTGTATTTACTTTTAAGTAAGAGAACCTAATCACTTTAGAATATTACTTTCATTCAGAAATATCTTACATTAACATAAATTGTGTCACTGATATATTATTAAATTAAATTGTCAATTATATTAATTTAAGTATTATAAGTTATCACTGTTAGTTTATTATAGAACGATTTTAATTAATAACAAGTTAACTAATTTATGATTAATCAATATTATATTTAGTTGATTTTCAGCTCATGCATTATTAATTTCTGAATATCTTTGGAGGCAATGTTGGGAGAGATCAACTAAGTAAGTTATCTTCTTCTTTGGCATGTTTATAACAAAATTAAAACACTTGGAAAATTTATTCAACAATTTGTATTTACAGTACACTTTCAATTGGCTAAACAATACACAACTTTGAATTGTAATAATTATTTATCTAATAAAATTTTATTACAATATTTGATTCGATAGTATAAAAATTTAAAAAAAAAAAAAAGAAAATTGTAGTAACTCCATTTGCTGGATTAAGTTTAAAATATATGCATTATATGTAAATATCATTTAAATGTGTATGATAAATTGATAAAATTTTATGATATATTTTAATTTCATAAAATTATAAACTTTCATATAAGCAATTCAAGTACTCTTTCGTCATGATCTCATCTTACTTTTTTATTCTTTTGTTGGTGGTGGTTAGTGATTTCCTTCCCCTCTTGGCTGCAGAGGGTTCCTTAGTGGCCCGTTTTGACTTTTTAATTATTTTGGATGGTACGAATGTTTTTTCGTTTGGTTGATTGATATATTTTTTGTTTTATAAAAAATTATGTGTTTGAATTGAATTGTATTTTCATATGTTCTCTTTTAAAAATTATAATTATATTTTTTTTATAATTAGCGTTTATGTAATATTTAATTGGTAAATATATAAATTTTTATTAAAAAAAAATTATATAAGTCAAAAAAATTTACTGTGAAATTTATGCTATTAAAGAATTCAAGTTCCACCCACACCGGACTAAAAAAGGCAAGCAATTACTTTCTTGAGATGATTACTTAATTTGGGAATTAAACAATAGATGTGCGCCTTGGCTTTTACACCCTAAACTCATAATTCACCACATGAGTGTTTATGCGCAAAAGTTCCATCCGATTTTAGTTTATATTATAACAATCTTGCATTGATACCTTATATGCCTCATTTGGACTTGTATTTGGTGTGACACTGGCGCTAAAAGATCGTATCTCAAAACTGATAAAACCATCAAGAAATGGCTTTGTCGAAGCCTCTAAACCATCCTATCCCACGAGTTGATTTTCCCAGTTCTAAAGCGAAATGTAGCATGTACTAAAACCTTCAACCACATCTGGGTCTGCCATCTTGCATGGAGTCCTGGAGTTTTATAGTCTTGTGTGTGAGGATCAGGATTAATGTCATTAATATAGTGCATTCTCGAGCACTCTGCATCTGCTAGGGGATTCCACCAAAGTTTTTTAAATACCGAACAGCACATTGTTGCTAAGCCAGCTCTTCCCATCCTCTATGAAGAAGCTATTCTCATAATGCAAGAAAATTACCCCTCACCAAATGTCTCAAGCAGTGGGCTAATCCTCTAGAGATGTATACATCAAGATAAAGCAACCAAATGAAGAATATACATTTGTTCAGACATTTGGTTTTCCTGTCTTGTGTAATCAGTACTGGAGTACACGATATGACTGCAGCTAAATAAACCATCTTTTTCAACCACCCAAGTGCTGAGCTCAGGTCTCCCACCACTTACCGTTAATAAATTTATATACTGAGGGAAATGGATGAACTCAACCTAAACCAAACATATGGATGAACTCAACTACAGAATCAATGCCTATGTCCTTAAATGTTCACATCCATATTATTAGCATGGTTAGCAAAAAAGATTAAGGAAATAAGAGATGGTTAATTCTATCAGATAATTCATGAAATTTTTTTTTGAATTCCATACATTTAGACAAACCCTAGTTAAAAGTAACAGAAAGCTCCAAAACCAGGGCTTCATTAACTTGACCGACTCAATAAAAGCTGGCCTGAGATGATAATTACCCTATCTCTAAAACTGAGGGAAAATTTAACACTGGCAGATAATACTCAAATCCAAAATCAAGTTATATACAACAGTTCTTATTCACATGCATCATAAAAGGAACAATATCTTCCTGAGGACCTAGCTTTCTCAACTTAAAGAACTCGGAGCTGTGCAAGGAATGCAGCACAAAGATCAAGGAACAAAAATTGTGGCCCCTGAACCCGCTGGAGATCAAGCAGATACTTCTCTCCAGTTTTGAAAAGCTGTCAACAGCAATAGCAGAAAAAATGTGCTTAGCATAGTGCCTTAGAATATTCTTGTGCATAGCATATTCTTGCAGAAAAAGAAACCTAAATCTATATGTTGTTTTTGTTTTACCTACTTCTTTGTCCAAATGATAACATAAACCGCAAAAGATTTTGGTGTTCAACCAAATAATCTGCAAGGTATGTGTATATATGCAATGCCTTATCCAAATAGAATGTGCTCTTTGACAAGTACATTACCTGCACCTCAAACTTGACAACATTCGGGGACTTAACAATGCCATCATTCTCAATAATGTTGGAGTCATCTCCAAAGTAATGATTGCCATGCACTGGATTATTAACCATGCCTTCATGATGACCTGGCATTCCTGGAACCCACCTGCACTTCATGTTGTAGTGCCCAATCTTCTTCCAACAAACATTGAGTTCTTGCAGAGCTTTGAGAACTTCTGTCATTATCTCACGAGGATGGGCTCGAGACTGTCAAAATAGAAGCAGTTCAAATAATTTAACAGCACCCACTGACAAGTGCAAGTAATTTCAAAGAACAATATCTATTTTGCCATCACAACACGTATTACAACATATTACAGTTACATTGTTTCGAAAATGCTAATTTCTTGAAGTGGATAGAAACACAGTTGAATGAGATAAAATTTAAATGAAAATAGTATTTCTATTTCCATTTTGTTATTCAAGTTAGATGAATTTCTAAGTAGGAACCAAAACTATGGTAGAAGTGAAATTGGTTAAATATAAAAGAATATGATCCAACTTTACGTATCAAGAATACTCTAGACTTTGTTTGGAACAAATTCAGAAATAATTTGAAACTCATTTGCAAATTTACACTTAATTTAACAAGGAAAATCTGTAAATTTGTATTAGGTTATACGGAATTTCATGTGAAAACTGGAATAAAATATTGCTTCAATCCAATAAGCATATGAGCTCAATTTTAATCATTTTAGGGAGTATCCTATATCTTCTAGTTAAAACAAACGTGAATATGTAACATAGTAAAGAATTGTCTACACTTCTCAAGAGTTAGGACAGTAATAAAAACAATTAGCATTTTCCTAGTTACTGGAACACATTATTTTCCTTCAGTAGAAAGTTACCAATTTAGAATAAAACGTTTTAACTTTTTGGACTTAATTAAGCAATAATAGAGATATCCATGAACAAACTAAGTTCAATGTAAAGCAAATAACCGTGCACAAACCAAAACAAGTGTGAAACCCAGAAATTTAACCTGAAGTCCAAGAGCCCATTTTCTCTCAACTGGGAACTGTGGTCTATAGCCTATCCCTTGATAATCCATATATCCTGGAATACGCTGTCCAATAGGTGAGGCAGCTGCTTCACCTGGGTGCACACGATTGAAACCACATTCCTGAAATAGAAAAATGCCCTTTAGAACAGCTAAACAAACTAAAATTATGAGGCAAAAGAAACTTTCACAGCAAGCATACAGCATGAACATTTTAATGGGAGAATATTCCTTTAATATATAATTAGAAACCAGTAAGGAATTTTTCGTAAGGAATTTTTCGTTCATGTTATCAGGTTCATCCTGTTGCTGAAGTAGTTTTGATTTTGAAATCTCCATATTCAGGCACATATCAGGTAATAAAATGAAATTCAACAACCACCAGAACAGTCATGCTTTGGAGTAGAAACCTGGAGACTTCAACTAAAAAAAATACAAGGATAAGGCCCCACCAATGTTTCTTGAAATTCAGCTCCAAGATAGCCACTGGAAACACGGAACTTATTGTCCAACAACAAATAGTATGCAACAGTACCCTGAAACAAGCAAAAAACAATAAGAGACATTCTCAATTTAAGGGAGAAAAGAGCTCCAGAATTTCATACCTCATTTTGTATTCTATTGCGCAAAGATTCAACAAGTTGGTTTCGATCAAATCCCATCTTGACCACTTCCTGAAGAATCTCCTCATCAATCTGCAAGAAACATAGTTATATTTCAAAAATTAATCCGTTTAATCAACAATGAACGAGGAAATCTAAATGATAAAAAATGGAATTTCTATCAATCTCCCTGTGAAAAGTTTTCCATCATTTGCAAGCAAAAATTTTTAGATAACCTTCTACAGAATCCTACTAACACAAAGTTTTACCTCCCAAACCAAGCTTCAAAAAATAGTCATACCCCATATTATTCACAGATCTTACAATAGTTTCCAAATAATTGTGATAAATAATACAGAGTCGGTAACTACAAATAAACTAACCTTTTTCGCTTGCTGCATTGTATCTGGTGGAGGAACGGCTAGATAACGAGGAAGATGCGCTTGGAACCAAGGGTGCTGGCGAATCTCGGGAATAGTTACCCGTTTCATTGGATCAACCACAAGCATCCTTGGGATTAAATCTCTAGCGCCAGGTGACAAATGGCTTGGAAGGGTGTATATCCCACCCTAGAATGAAAATTTATGTAGATTTAAGAAACAAAAGCTTTAATCAAAGCAAGCAACAATATCCACACATAATTTCAATAGTTCAATGCATTAGCAATAGAAAATAAGAAAAAACAACATTTTACTATCATCAGATTAAATGTAAGAATTTTTTTAAAGATAAAAAGAGAATATATAAAAGGACACCAAGGAGGTACCACCCCAGTACAAAAGAAAGCAAAACTATCCAGAGGAACAGAAAAGATAAATAAAGGTTCCAAAAGTCCTCCCCAGATAGGAACTAGTGACCTCTAATGATCACCCACAAACTAGTGACTTCAGGCCCAGAACCAATTGTCTTAATTACTAGAAAAAGTAGTGTCCAACAAAAACTCTAGCTCCTTTCCTTCCAAATCACTCACAAAAATCACTCACAAAATAACCATTGGGATGAGGAACACAAGTTTCTTCTTATCCTAGTTAGCAGAAATGTCGTCCTCCAATGCCAAAATATCTCCCCCACTGAACCACTGACAACACAAAAGAAGTTGAGAAGACCGAGAATAGAATTCCATAATTGTCTAGATTCAGAGCACCAAAAGAATCTAGACTGCCACCTCAGTGAATCCTAAGAGATCTTTTGAATGAGTGGGGAAGAAACTAAAGCTCACAGTTATAGCTAAAATTAGGTCCTCTTAATTGATAAGAATGAAGCTTATTTTTAAAGAGAGAAAATAGAAAAAAGGAGTACATACTCTTGTCTGGTCTACAATGCAAATTAGAAGTTTCCAGATGATGCTTAGTGGAAAAGATATTAGACAATCAAGAGCCAATACTTTGATAATCCAAATGTTGCTAGAGGAAATTTGTTTCAGAAGAATAAAACAGTGAACATAAAAGTAGAAAAATAAAACAGAGGAATGATGTTGCGGTAATGGACAGACAAGCACTACTAAATATCCCACGATGTAACCAAATTCTCCCTGATAGAGAGAGAAAAAAAAAATGGCTTCCAACTCAAATTCCACTTCAAAAAAAGAATATAGAGCAAAAGAAAATCTCAATAGAAAGTTGGACAATGGAGGGGCAATACATGAAAAAGTCAAAAAAACTTTGGAACTCGAATTAGATCAGCCAAGCCTTTCTTCCAAATCACATGAGGTAGGCCACGTGATATAATGGATACTCGAGTAAGCAGAAAAATCTAGCAATACCTTGATTTTCTTAAAAAGGTTGGGAATGTTCTCATCATCAAATGGGAGGGTACCACAAAGAAGAGCATACAATATCACACCACAACTCCATACATCTACTTCAGGTCCAGCATACAATTTCCCAGATATAACCTGCAACATTAGCCATGATCATCCTTAAAATTTTACAAAAATATTATCAACTTTAAGAAAAACAAGCAGGCCCCTGTTTCCTCTATATGAGCATTTGAAATTCATAATGCATGTCAAATTGTCATTCCCAAACTACATACCTCTGGAGCTGCATAGTTTGGGCTCCCACAACTTGTCTTCAGAAAATGACCATCTCGCATGATGTTACTGAGACCAAAATCAGCAATCTTTACATTCCATTTAGAATCCAAAAGCAGATTTTCAGGCTTAAGGTCTCTATGAACTACCATATTCCTGTGGCAATACTCCACTCCAGATATTATCTGCTCCGGAAGAAGGTTTGACCCACTTTAACTCATTTGTTAAAGGAATTAACAACTGACAGACACCTAGAGACAAAACAGCCAAACTTACCTGCTGAAAAAGTTGCGGGCTTCATCTTCCTGCAACCTACCTTTCTCTACAATGTAATCAAAGAGCTCCCCTGACTTTACATACTCCATAACAACATATATATCAGATTGCGTCTCTATAACCTCGTAAAGCCGTATTATATGAGGATGCATGAACAACCTCAAGATTTTGATCTCTCTTCTCACTGCACGAACATTGTAAAGAATAAGTAACAGGAAAATTAGCTATAATACCTCATTTAATCAACCAAAACCAACTGCAAATTCATGGAAGTTCTGGAAATAGCTATAACACCTGGTAATAAACAACTAACAAATCATTATAAAGTAGAAATAGAGATTGAAGCATTTAATTCATACAAAAACCTTCTTCTAAATGCATATTTCCTTACATTTAATACCACCTGAACTTCTCAATGCATTTTTTTTAAATAAAATGCATTATTAGTTAATAATATAAGCAAAAGAAAAAAAAACCCTAACTTTCCAACAATTTATTGGCCTTAATCATTCAGGCTTGTAACTACTAAAGGTTTTTAAGCAAGAGCAATAAAAATTTAAAATTATAGAGATAGACAAGATTATCAGTTGGGCACATTATGTATACCTTTCTCTTCCATTTCCATGTTCTTAATCTTGCGACGGTTAAGAATCTTGATAGCAACTTTGTGCCCAGTCAATGCATGCTCAGCTATTTTCACCTTTCCAAAGGAACCAATACCAAGAGTTTTACCAAGCTTGTAATTTGGAAGAACAGTATCCACGCCACTGCTGCCTCTGTTAGACGATCCATCCATATTTCCTATCATAAAGAGCACTACACTTAAAACCACTGTGCACAAACTTCACCATTAAGGGAAATTAAATCATGGCCAGGATAGGGCCAAGACCGAGAACAAATCAGAAGGATCAAATATATAAAGTTCAATTATGACGTACTAATAGATGTAGATCAGTAAATCTAAAATCAATGCCTGAAAATAAGAAATTTCTTTAAGAGAATTTCCCAATATAAATATTAAAGATGTCACAAAAATAAGCTGCAAGGCAGCAGCATTATAGTTTGTTGTAGTCCATATTACCAACGAATAAATATTACCCTTCTATCTGCTTACTTTAAGAGCATGTTTTGATTTAAGGAATTAGCCAAACATTACTAGTAATATGGCTCCAAATCTTTTTTCATTGACTTAATCTTTTACATTTATATTGTTTCCAAGAAACAAAAGATTTATATCACTGGGTAACATATTTAACCACCTTGAAGAGTTTACTCTTGAAAGAGAAAGAACGTTTTGGGTAAGACAATTTTAAGGTTAAAATGTACATATTGTCTATACCCTATAAAATTTACTTTTTTTTCTCAATTATCTTTTTTGATGACCTACTCATGGAATCAAAATATTCCCAGTAATCTCAAGGTCTCAACTTAGAACAATAATGTGCAAACTTATTAATCATAATCCTGATAATTTGAATTCTTAGTAACATTTTCTACCCGGACGAAAGGGCTCGTAAGATAATATTTTAAACAAAGCCTCAAAAGGAAAGATTTCATAACAAATAAAAAGGTATCTTGACTCCGATTCCGTTATTTCAGTGTAAAGATACATAAGCATCTCCTTGTTTTGTGCAACAAATGATTCCACTAAAGATCACATCCAATGGAAACAAAATATATTAAGCTGCAGTCGGCCCTAGTTACTTTTAAGCCTCACGGGCAGATGTTTATTTAAAAAATATCAACTATACGACAATCCTAAAAAAATAGCTTGAATCTTTTACCCCACAAGATTTATTTCTAGTTTGGAATATCTTTTTGACAAACCAGAAGTATCAGAAATTCCTTTGAAACGTAAGGTTTCAGCATAAACACAAAAGACACGAAAAAAGCATGTTAGTTAAACGTTTAGCTCTCAAGAAACAAATGCATCCCCTTTTTTGCGATAATAACTCCGCTCAAGGTCGCATCAATAGAGAAAGACATCACACAGGTGGTCAAGTCATTTAGCATCAATCAGACTTATGACAAGATAACATATAGACTCTACTAAAANNAACAATCTTTTGACTAACCACAATTTTTAGTATTTCTTCATATTCCAGTAATAGGTCAACATATTCCACTAATATTTCGACTCTGAATAAGAAGGCTCTGCCAAATTAAAGGTAAAGCTTTGAAAGGAAAAATGTCATCAGAAATACAAAATAAGTTTTTTTCTTTTTTTACAGGCACGTTAACTCACACTCGATCATCTATATCTCCAGAAACATATGCATCTCCTCCTTTTGTGCAAGGACAGTTCACTCAGGATTACATCAAACATGAAGCTAACATATCAGGATGGAGAAGTAGATATGTTAAATAGGGTTGACAGCAGAAAGGATTAAGGGAGAGAGGGGATTAGCACAAAAAAGGGAAGCTCAAAAGTAAAGAAGAGCAGCAGCAGCGGTCAAGCCAAAAAACCAGAAATTTGGAACAGCAAGACCACCAAATGATCCACAATGCAAAGATACAATGTATCCCAACAACAGGAGTCTGAAGTAACAGACCCAGCTAAAAACTGAGACAGAAACCTGTTCGAAAAAACAAAAAAGAAAAATTGTGACAGAAAGCACAGCTTATAGAGACCAGAAACAACAGTTTTTTTCACGTACGCTATACCAGAATGCTTGATCATTTGGAATCCTAGTCAGCCACTTAAGGAACTGGACACACAACACATGGAACTCATCTTTGGAACATTTATTTATATACTTCGAACGTTTGATCTTGAAAAATAAGGTGGAAAAACAGGAAAAAGAAAACAGCAATCTGTACCTGAACCTGCGTAGAGTGTTGCAACGCTGAAGGATTCAGAATGAAACGTAAAGGAGCCCAGCAGAGTGAATGAACCCGAGCACAGCGTTGCTTCGTTGCTGGAGTGGAGCGATGACAAGTAGGGATTATACTGGAGGCGGTGAGAGATTGGAAAAGAAATCTAGCGTTAAAAAAAAGGAAGGAAAAGAGACATTCAAAAATCGCAAACAGAAGGTGATCGTAGTTCCTATCAGGTGAAGCTTGAATCACTAAATTCTCTTGAAACCCTAAAAGAGAAGATACAATTGATTGTTCATTTTACAAACCCTATCTGCACCAGATCTCATAACCGAATACAGCAAAACATAGAATCAAACGTCCACAAGAAGACCAACACCACACGAGCATGTACCTTAACGTATATATAAATAAAACCGCATGCAAAGAAAGAAGAGTGTCTGTGTAAAGTGAGGAGGAGAGAGAAAGAGAATTAGAGAGAGCGAGAGAGAGAGAGAGAGGAAAATGACTTACAGCGAAAACGAGAAAAGAAGAATCCACCAAAACGAAGGGGAGAAAACAGAAGAGTAAAACCTAAGGAGGGCTCGAGAATTGATCAAGAAAATAACATCAATTACATGAATTTAACAAATTCGAAGCTAGAATTGATGGAGTAGTACCTGCTCGTAAACCCGAGAGAATCTCTCGTCTCTGTCTTTCTCTCTCTTCTCTCTCGCTCGCTTGTTAAGTTGCAGGCTGCAATCCAAGGGGCGAATTTTATCGATTTTGTTTAATTGTTTTGAATGAAACTACCCCTCGAATTTCAACTAATGACATGGCTTTCCCTTGTCCGATTGCTGACTTTTGTCTCCCAATATGGAATTTTGCGGGGATGGGGAGGGTAAAATGGGAATTTCAAGGGCTTATGGTTATGCTGGGTGGTAACTCTGATGGTGCCATTCGTATCCTTATTTTAATAATTACACGTGTATATAAACAATTGGTCTTGATGGAGTTCTTGCAACATTTTTTATTCGAAAAAAAGAATCACCTCAATATGAATTTCAGGTTACTTTAATATTTTTATGATTTTTTATTTATGTATCAATATTATTTAATGTCATAATTTATTGTAATCATTTCAGTAAAAAAATATTTAATTCTTACTTAATATTTTTTTTTTGGTCAAGAATTTTATTAAGATTTAACACAAATTGATCAATATAATTTTATCCATATAATAGCGAATAAAATTTTTAATTTTATTAAATCAAACATTATTTACAATTTATTTCTTAGAAAATATAATATACAACAGCTGTTTGATTTTTGTGAAAATAAGTATACACTTGCATATCAAGAATTATATTTGCTAATAAAAATCTTCATTCATTCATCATATTAATTTTTTTTCTACGCTTTGATAACAAGAATAAAAAAATAATAATCGAGAAAATAAGTATTAAATAAATATTATAAGACAACTCATGATGATTATATTAGTTGTCACGCCTGTCAGTGTTGATGTTTTGCTAACCTCATATAATAACTGTCTAGTTCGTTTTAAATGTACATATCTTTTGTTTGCATTTTTTCATGACAATCATTAACACTTTCTATTTTTATCATCATTATGGATCTAAATTCAATGTCTAACATTTGCGTGCAATTTGTAACTAAAGAAGAAGCTCTTAAATGAGAAAAAAAATTATACCAAATGACTTCAAAATCTCTCATATGAGTTTTGATAGTATAATTAAACTAGAAATATCACTTATAAATAAGAAACAACAAAAATTTTTTAAAAAAAAACAATGTTTGTTTTACTAATGTTTAATAATTCATAGGAACATAATATAATATTAACAATTGAAGTATTTAAAACTTTCCTAACATATATGAGATACTATATCATTCAGTTAACTTCAAATATCGTTAAATTAAAAGACTTTTTTGAATAAAAGTACTCAAGTCTATTAACCTAATCTCCTAATTATAATATAAATTTGTTGTCTTCAATATTGAATAATAATGCAATTTTATATTTTTTGGTAAATATTCAATTTTTAAAAATATATATATATATATATCTTCGTGTGAGATCTATAATTTTAAAGATAAAAAAAAAATTATTTTTATCATAAATTTACTTTATATATGGGTATATGCATATAGATACATATATATTATATCAAACATAGTACTTTTAAATTTTTCATTTGAAATGTTTTGTGATAGAACATTATTTATAATAAACAATACAAAAGTGATTCAAACCCTCAAAAGAAATAATAATAATTCAGAATATCTATCCATGCATGGTAATAAGATTACATTAGCTAGTATAACATAATGATTTTAAAGTTTTATTGTAGGTTAGATAGGAGGATAGCACAATAAAATAAACATTACATATATGAGTAAAAATGAAACAAGTCTGAGATATATAATATTAGTTTAATTGAATACTAGAATATTCTGGTTTAGTTATTTTATTCTGGTAATACTCGATGACATGTATCTTTTATTCAAACTTATTTTATTATTATATTCATTCATAAAAATGAGCCAAATACAATGTTTTC